TCTGTCGCCTAGCTGAGCATTTGACGGTGATGAAAAGCAGCCCCCGGCCGTTACATGATGCCTTACATAACAAGAGCATTTGGAAGCCCCGAGCCTTCGCACAAACACGAAAGTCCTATCACATGTGCTACATTTACACAGGATTGACCATTCGTTCTAAGATTTTGTGTAACTATTTTGTTTCGTTTATCTGGACTGAATGTTCACACGCCCTTGTGTTTTAATTTACATTTTAAAAGTTTTTTGATAAAAAACAAGCATGCTTACAAACAGGGAGTTCACCAGTACCCACTTACATTTCTCTCAAATAAACTGAACGGAACCATTCTAAGTTATATATCATCGAAAGCATTCGAAGTAGGAATACCATGTATTCAGTGGTTAAATAAGTCCGTGCAATCCAAACATGCGGGTATTACTAATGCACACGTTTCACTTTTTTGGAACTAACTGTTTGTTGACTCACTCGATGACTGACTGAATATGTGTGCCAAAAACGATTCGAAGGATGAGATACACCCTTTAAAGACTATCACTGTTTTGCGCGTATTAATGCGCACTTCTGCCGTGCATACATTGTTTCTTCTACACATCTAGCAGTTTAGGATAATATTATTGTCCTACTATAATGTCTAAGGAAATGCCTACGCTCATTTCTATTAACATTTAAACTCGAAACTTAAGTACTTATTTTACAGTCACATCTTTCTACACCAGCAGGACGAAAATTTATAAATATTCTTGAATCATTAGTATTCTTCCTTGGAATTTACTCTTCATTTTCAGAAAGGCTGCGAAAAGATATGTTATTAAAAGTATCATACAAATATCTCCTGGAATTATAACACATGGCACAGCCATTAATCTTACATTTAACAATTTCTACTTATAAACCTTATCGTTCTGGCCAGATGAAATTCTGACAAATGCTTGCCTTCATGTTTGACCGTCCACCAAGTGCACCAACAGTCAGTACAGAAGGTGACGGCCCCCAAGGGGTAGCTTTAAACTGATAGCTGATGACGTTAGTGCCAACCACACTCTTCCCCTTTGTCCGGAGTCAAGAAAACCAAACGGGACACAGCGTAGGCTGCTTTCTCTAATGCAAGCCGAAACACCGCCTAGCTTTGTGGAAGTTGACAATAGACTTTGCGCGGGTACTACTGTGCTACCTAGACTCGCTCACCTTTAGTACATATGTATACAGGGCCAAGAAGGCCGAGACTGATATGGTTTCTACTTTTCCTACTGCTACTGACTATCATTGTAGCCGAGTTTTAGTGGTGCTGGTACTATTTCTGACACTATCATTTGTCAGAAGTGACGTGATTTCAAATCAACACTGCGGCTCTAACCTTTCTTACCCTCAACAAAGAGTGGGAAATCTAGATTTATGGTAGTTCAAGTAAATACATGTTTGAGGCCCTGAGCACATCAGGGCTTGCCTTGTTCTTCACCCTCTCAACTCTATCCTCTCAAGCTATGTTCGTATCAATTAGGAGATGGGCTATGATACAGCTGCTATAAGTTCTTGTTTGTGCTATAAGTGCTGCGCCTATGCTAGAAGTGCTAGTTCTAGCAACCAAAATTGCTAAAGCCAGTAATTGGGAAGCTACAGTACGGTCTAGTTATGCCCACAGGAAATTTTTAACCTAGTATGCAGTCGCAACCTATATGGGGATTTTTAGTAAGCTGAAGGGTTATAGAAACGTGTATTTATAATACATCTCCCGCTCACCGGAATTCATATCCCGGAATTCTGACATTTTCGAATTTTAAAACGTGTATTTAGTACTAGCTTAAGAGGTATCATGCATTTAGGTCCTTACAAAGTGGAAATATAGGGACGATATAGTACCAGGTAGATGATAATTTGGCAGGAGTTTCCTTGGTAGTGGTCTCGAATACAGCAAGCCGTAGGTTTTTGTCATGCGCTCACCGTGAGAATGGGGTTTTTATGAGTTGGTAAAACTAATTTAGTAAAAAACAATTCTGTGAAAATAAGTAAAAAATGTCACACAATTTTGTTGAAAACATTCAATGCGTTGGCTATATGTCGACAGCCTTGGGAGAGTTACTCGAAAGAAGGCGCAAAAAACAAATCGAGGTCAAATTGAGCTCGAATAGAGCTCGAATTGTGGTCGACAAACGTGGAAATGTGGAGTTTTATTCCGAAAACTATCCTATGCTCAAAACCCAGTAATAATGGAATTTTTGAAGACTTGTTGTAATATTAAGCAAAAACTTCGGCCATTTTACATACGATATCACAATCCCACCCTCAACCATATCATAATGATTTCACTATCCCTTTCCTTAACCTAACCCTAACCCTTACCCTAAAACTTACCCTAAACCTAAATCTAACCCTTACCCCAATTCTAAAACTAACCCCTAATCCTAAAGCTTACCCTAACCCTAACCCTTACCCTAACACTTAACCTTACCCTACCCCCTACCCCAACACTAACCCTTACCCTTACCATAACCCTAACCTAAACCCCATACCCTATACCCGAACCCTAAATCTAAACCTAACACTAACCACTAACCCTTACCCTAACCCTAAACATAACCTTAATCCTCACCCTAACCCTTACCCCAACCCTCACCCTGACCCTTACCGTGGCACTTACCTTAAATCTAACCTCTAACCTCCTTACCCTAAACCCGAATCGAGCTCGAATCGCTGTCGACAAAGCTGGAAATGTGGAGTTTTATTCCGCCTCTACCAATGAAACTCCTGCCGATAATTCGACCACCGACCACTATATGACTAGCTTGTATTCGCTGAGCGTGGTTTTCGATAGACAACGCACAGCCTCTGGGTACCGTCTTTCTGCATTATAAGCCCATCGGTTACCATGCCTTTATCACGCAAGGCACTGCCATTTGCCGTCTTCAGGCAAACTGTAGAATCGCTACTGTCTCTAGCTATGGTCTAAAAGTTACAGGACGTGTCCCGTCTAACTAAGGACACAACATGTTCCGGAAGCAGCTTAGCATAATGACATGGTATTTTCTATACTGTAACAATATCTGAGTTACTGTTGGCTTTTGTCGCTGTACGGATGACGCAGACCAGCAGGTAAAGGCAAATACTCACGAGTGATGTAGCCGTTGAATGTCACTGGATAAAGCTTTGGGGTGGTGGAGCGCCCAGATTGGTTTGTGAGCAACCAAGAACTCCCGGTTTTGTCCTCGACAGTTAGGAAATCAGTTTTGATGATGCCCAAGTTATGCTCCAAACAGCTTGGGTCAGTAACTTGAGCGTAAGTTAGGTTTTAGGTGATAGTCGACTTCCCGCAGCATCGACTGCATTCTGTCTCTCTGCCCTCATCCTCCTCACAAGTATTTGCAGGACTATTGTGACATATAGTCACGCATGTCTGCAACGGCGCTTCCTGACTCGCAGATTTTCTTTATCTATGATCTCCTCACGCGACTTGCGTCCTTTAATTGTTGGTGTATGCAGTAGAGTAGTTTTCCAACGAGACCTCACCGTTTATATAAATGTGTAGTTTAAGAATGGGTGCTCCAACTCAATTACGCAATGGGTTTTCTATAGGAGTGGCGTGCCACTTGTTACTTTTTTAAAATTCATTTATTAGGTTGTTTAACTTACCTTAGTCCGTTAACAAAGAACTTCTCTGTGATATGGCCTGCGCAGTTGGAATTTTCGAAAGCGAGATAAAATTTATATTGGAGCGAGAGGTTTTTGAGACAGGTAAACTCAGCGTCCCTTATGCAGCCCATCCCGCCACTTCCGTAAATATCAACCTAAAATAGCAGAGAAGAATTTGGAATCAAAGTTTCACGTCTTCCCTGAACGGAATTGATCAGGTCATAGCGCAAGCATGTGCACTTTAAACATTTTACTGCTTACGGTAGCGTAAACTCACATAGAATAGTTGACGGTAAAGTTATTTGACTCAAATTCTCCCTTCTACGGTACGCGACAGAATGCGTGCAACATGCCGAAATATGCGAAAGATTGATATGCTTTTTCTAATCGGCATTGACTCAGGTTTTGATGCTGATCATCATGTAGTCTATTCTGAAAGTATTTCAGTCATGATAAGAAGCCAACTTTTTAACGAGCTTGGTTCTGACCACCAACAAAACCTATGTACTGTAAAAAGTAACTGTTTAACTATTATGCATATTTATCATTGATTTTGACTGCCATTATAAGTTAAAATATATTTTATGGAAAAGGTACACGAAACAGTACTTATTGTACTCGTTTGGTTGCAAATTAGGCCTTCTTTAAATTTTATACTCAAAGAAAGGGTATCCTCGGTTTAAGAGAATTGTCTATTTATGGGCTTTTTTACGATTGTGATGTGTTCATTCATAATACATCGTATCCGTCGATTTATTAATGCTGCCTATACGGTATGAGGCATGCTCCACATCTATCAAAATATTTTATGTGAACTATTTGACTTCTTCGTCAAACTGCAGACGAAAACATTCTTTTCCTTAAACAGGATGTGCACAGTGCGCAGTTTGTAAACCTTGAATTCTAGTGTAGCAGCCAGTAGGTTTCAAAATTATTCGGCAATTTAGAAACTTTAAAACCAGAAGATACCCCTTCTTTAAGCATAAAATTTGAGGAAGGCGTAATTTACTATCAAAGAAGTATATTAAATAATTTTTTGTGCATGTTTTCCATCAGGTATATTTAAATTTATAAAGGCATTCGCAATCAATGATTAAAAGCACACTATTTAAGTAGTTACGTTTTACAGTACATACGTTTTGTTAGTGGTCAGAACGAAGTTCGTTAAAACGCACGCATCCTATCATGACTGAAATGACTTCAGAATAAACTACACGATAATCAGTATCACAACCTGAGTCAATGTCGATTAGCAAAAGAGTATCAATTTGTCGTATATGTCGGTATGTTGCACGAATTCTGGCGCGTACTGTATTTCAGGGATTAGGACTATTCGGTTTAGGTCAGTCAAGGCCAAACTGGAAAAAGACTTACAATCCTTGCGGGACACATAGGCGTCGCTGTGCGTCAGGATTCGATCTCTCTAGGTCCGACAACACTCTCACAACTACTGAGGATGTTATTCTGCTTTAAGTGATGTCATCTAAGAGCGGCAGTTTGACCGATTGTTTCTGTTAGGATGGAAGCGTGACCAAACGCTAGCAACCTTGTCGGCTCTCCTAAGGCGTTGAGCCTGCCGCTGACGCCAC